TTGTTTTTGGCTAACTAAAGTGCTAATGTAACTTCCAATCTTTAAAATAGTAATCACTTGTGGCAATGTACGACTGCGCACAAGGTAATACAACAGTCAGACAGGCAATCTCGATCAATGCCGGCCAGATCATTAATGGGGGATGATAGGCCCAACAAGGGGGCACCAACCGACAAAAGAATTTACGCAATACCGTTGGGAATAGTGTATTCCACCTGTCTAACACGGCCATTGACCGTTCGATTCCAGGGCTCAGTCTGAATTTCCGGCGTGATGATTACACCTTCCACCGACCTGTTACCCTCGACAGAGAATGTAATGAGCCAGCATTTTCGTATACCGCCCAAGACCACGGAATAAAGAGGGTTATCCAACAACCGTCGCATACTAGTGAAAAAGGCCGACTCCATCGTGTTACTGGTTGAACGTGTATCCCTAAGATATAGTGCCTCCGGCTGGGGGGAGAACACGAGAGTGGCGGTATAGGGGGATTGTGCTTCCATTACCACCGAGAAACTAGACACCCCCGCTTGATGAACAAAATATCTAAAGCATTCCATGATGTCTTCCGTTGCACCGGGGTACATAGCTTGCGCTATCTGGGACATTTCCGCCCTCAATAAGTGTAGCCCTAGTCCTACAAAGTGGGGCATAGTTCCCTTTCGTGAATTACGATGGTGAACGAGGAATGAAACGTGCGGGTAAGAAAAAAAGTGGAACAACCTGAAATTGGAAGCAGACCATCAGATATTGTGCAGGTGCGACAAAGGTAAGCATTGGTAACCATAAACGGGAAAGTGTATCAAACTAGCGTGGTATGACAAACACCGGACAGCCAGGTCTTTATATATGTGGTGGGTACTGGCCACTATTACTGCGTTGTACCCATCAAATTCAAGGTTGAGGAGGTGCAAAAGCGAATAGTAGTATCCCTTTTAATCAGGAAAAAAGCGACTACCCTATTTACCCGTCGTTTTACGGTTAATGGTGTAGGGGATAATTCCATAATTTCTTCAGAGCAGTGGTTTTACAGCGGAAATGCAAAGCAAACCAGTTTTACAATGCCCTAAAACCGGTATATCTTTAAACCAGTTGTGCCTGATCATAAAGTGCAAGTCTCCTGTTTCATCAGCATCACTTGAGCTCAGAAGTATTCCACCACCGACATGATTACGCCTTTTTGCTAGCCGGAAAATTTTTGCTACCATGCCCCATGTTAGCTTCTATTCCATCACTTCGCTGTCACTGCCCAGTTGGTCTCATAATGTATTGCATCCATTTCTCATTTTTATGGTGAGTCGAGAATCACCTTTGGATATATTGTCATTGCCATCAAGAAGCTCTACACGACAAAATAACAATATTTCAAAGCAACGTAGTATCTGAGTTGCGTGGGATTATAATATAGTGCCTTTGCAACCCATCAGTCTCAGTAATGCATTCGCACTATGATCTGATACACTCTACTGGATCACCACTTACAGAGGATGATATCTAATCCCAATAAGGGATATGGAAAAACAACCACACCCTTTTTGTACTTATTGAGTTGACATTCTCTGGGTAGTAAGATGTTTATCGCTGCAGGTGCCATTAGTTTGACGCTTTGCAGATACCATTTGGGAATGTAACACAAGTGAACAATGGAAAGTGGTAATGAACGATATGCTGTGAACACCACTTACATGTACTAGAGGAATTTCCGGATGTATTCTGTGTACAAGGAGGATTCTAATGAGATATGTTACCTGTAAAAATTAAAATGTGCTTGTAACCCAAAATCATACTAATAACAGTAACAAGTTGCGCTAAACCAAGCCAGTGATAATAACTGAGTTTAACCATGAAAACTGTATTAGGAACGCTAACTTAGGGTCATCATTGAAGGCATGAAAGCGAATACTATTAAAATCTTTACAGAAGCACCAATATTGCTAATCAAATAAAGATAAAAATTTGCAGTTGCAATTGCAATTGCGATTGCAACGAATTGAGCAACTATTGTGGCACTGGGATCAGCTGTCTATCACCAGATGGCTATACCTGGAAATTTACAGCCAAAAAAACAACCGAAAAATACAGAGTTACATCACTAACTTGGCTCACCTTTTGCATAAGTTATAAAATTTATCGCAACTACTTAAGAATTGACTATAGAACACGAGTAGACGCCTGAGTAAGGGCACAATAAATATAAGTGTAGCTATAAGTGTTATTAATATGGTGTACTCACTGGGCACGAGGAAATATAAGTTTCAGGGACTCCCGGATCTTGAATATCTAATCTGGATCAAACGTCGCACAACATGTTAGACATTATACAATGTCAAGCTAATTTTAACGATGTCTAATGAGCTAATGGATGAAATATTGCATTCAGGAATGGTAGCTCTTTATACCTTAAGCGTTAAATCTCTGACGTGAGGGTGGCATCATCTGGTATCTTTTCATCTCCGTGGGGAAAGTTGCTCTCATGAGGGACTGTATCATGCTACTCAGAAGTATAAGTAGGGGGGTCACTTGGGTGCATAACTTCTTTCCCTTTAGCAAAACAATAGAATAACCTGATCTGACTTTGTTTAATATAATCACGTGATCTGAATGGGTAAAATTTAAATAAAAATCAAAAAAATGTCCCACCATAGCGTTCGCGGAAAAAAGTGAAATCGAACGCTCCTGGGTGGGCTCGAACCACCAACCTCCTGATTAACAGTCAGACGCGCTAGCCAATTGCGCCACAGAAGCTTATATCTACTACAGTGGATATTTAATATTTATACTGTTGCAAAAAAACGGCTTAGCGACTCGATTTTTTGTATGCAAGGGGCAGAACAATGAAGTACTGTGTCAACAGTTAGCAACATTTCCGAGACTAATATGTACTGAATAGATGAATGTACTCCGGTGACAGTCCTTTACATTTTCTTTCCCAATGTATGCTCCTTTAAATGATGGCTATACAGCTCTTCCCATTAGATATGCTGTATATTAACACAAAATTGTATCGTGCCTTTCACCATACTAGTTACCTAATATAGATCTAATGTTTATGACCTCTAGGTCCTTCAATCCAGTAATGCGTCATGATTAGTAAGTATATTGTTTATTGCGATATATGACCACTCTTAAGTTGATTGCATCTCCTACTTCGCACTCTACTCCTTCATCTATACTAGATTTGGAGTACTATTGTCAATTATCAGATTAACCATTTTGATCTGACACGCAAATTATAATCACGGAGTATTTTTAAATGGTAGACGCAAGGGAAATATTCCAGAAATTATGAGTTATTTCTTGGTGGAATGTTTCTGTTGCCACTACACCCACTTTCTCGTCAGTATGGAAAATTGCAAGCGGGCGAACCGGGTAATATGAAAGGAAAAATCTGAATAATTGAAAACAACAGCAGGCCGCGGCAATGCGCTCCATTATCAAATGAAGTGGTTTTAAAAAACAGTAGAAAATTAGAATACACCCCTCTTTTTTCTATCACTACAACTAGTTACTGGTCTTCAGGCATGGTTGACCAAGTGGTAATATCCCCCCCCCAAGAAAAAGGGTTGTTTCATCAAGCAATGGATGCATAGTATACGCATGCGATTTTGCTTATAGAATTACATAAAATGCCAAGCTTTACCCCACAGATAGCGAGAACAACAGTGCCACTCGCCAATATCGTCATATGGGTTACACAAAGCGCTTGCACCTGCCCAGTGCGCCTTCTACACCCATAGAAATGCAAATACTTTTCAGAAGCGGGGGAATTTCGGGCATGGGATGTGGTTATTTCATAGATGAATGCGTATAAACGTAACCAGCGGAAAATTGAAATGACGAAGCAGTGGTAAAATATCAGGATACTTTATTGAGCATGGCATATATTCGCATGGTCAAGGTTGGAACGGTAGTGGACGAAGTAAAACTTTTCGAATATATGAAGATTGGAAGGGTGGGTTGGCCGACATTTTCCCATCTGCAGCAGCCAGCGATATTCTTGATGTAGCACAAGGAAGATGCCCGGATAGAGCACGGAGGGAGGGGGCTCATGCCTAACGTATCGTTGGGTGATGGGACATTATAATTTTCGGAAGTATAACCCCTTATAGAAAAGGTATCCTCGTGCCTTGTTCACCATGGGCCGCTATCTGTGAACAAAAATAGATGGGCTTCCGAGGTCAAGGTAACGTGGTTGTGCAATCTCCCACTTCAATGGCCTAGTTTGGGGGAGTGCAAATTTCTTGGACTTCACTCTGAATGACATTGTACTGGGAAGTTTCAAATAGTAGTGTTTTCCTACCAGTGATGCCTAATTATTACTTTTAAGCTCTGATATTCGCTCCAGAACGGGAAGCAAAGTATAGTTCCAATAAAAGGGGACAATTGACGAAAAATTAACATATCCACCTTCTGAATATTAGAGCTGATTAGCAGCCATATTAACTACCACACATGATGAGCGGAGAAATGTAACACTGTGGAAATGGAACTAAAGGGTCATGCGGCTTCAAGCGGATATTGCATGTTATTCGTTAGAGAAAATATCGGCAAAACAACTACCTCGTGCAACTTAACATTTACAGTTGTCTGCACCAGTTGTGGGGCTAACGGAAGGCTATCCTTTGTGTTACATGTCAATCCAATAGCTCACTTTGCTCACGAGCAACCACGATTAAATATGCCAAGCTATTTCTATGCTTCAGGTGTCGGGAGTGATGCTGTACATCCCCAAAATTCCTTTCAAGGCGACTAACACCGTAGTTAGTTCGTTATCTATATAAACTCACACCACAAACTTCTCGTTACAACCAGATCAGTTACCTATCACTTTATTATCGCTACTTTGATAATTTTATTATAGCATCTCGCAACAGTATTCAATCCAACCTCCTGCGTATTATTCTTACCGACCAGTCCATCATGAAGTCCATTGTGTCCAGCATTCTCGTGGTGTTCACCTTGTTTCTGGGGATGGTTAATGGAAACTTCCGTGGTGTTTGCATTGACGACACCATTTATAGAACAAAGATAAACAATGTACCCATGGATCGCCCTTGCCCCCCCGGAACCAAATGCGTTCGGATTAAACCTTTGGAAGTAGCCTGCCAATAGTATAGCTCATTTTTCTACTTACACACTACTACCACCTGATAATGTTTAGTAGTAAACTACGTTTTCTGCCTTAGTTCTTCATCTTGACTATTTCTCGATTACTTTACCGAGGAACATTGATTTGTGATTTTTAAATGCGGAAATATATTTATCGTCTACTTCGGTAACTTTCCTGAAGGATGGGTAGAATCATAACTGGATTACACTTTCACAACTCTCAACCAAGTTTTTGATCTTTCTGTTTTATTTTATGTTTACCCGCATTACTTGATGCTGCCTAAAATTGTGCTCAATATAAAATTAAATAGGCAATCCACTTAAATCCATTCTTCAACTGCAGTAGATCCCACCATTACCAAGTGCATTATGAACCCTACGGAGCCACTTATCAGAATGCCTGTGAGAACTGCTCCGCTGGTGGGAATCAAGGACTCGCTCACTGTATACTGGCAGAACTTTATCAACATTATCCAGCGCTTTAAATTTTAGCATTTTCTTGATGTGCAGGAACAGCCCGAAATGTTTACCTGAGCTTCTTTTCGATCGTATCAACTTGATACTACTTGATCTCGCAGTAAGGACGTCCTGTGCATTACCCACCTTCGATTGATGGATAGCCTGAGAAAATACTGAATGAACCAACATCACACAGTGCTATATAAATGTGAATCCCCAGCATAAGCTACCCAAAAATTTGGTAAACTTACATTGGGTTTCGGCCAAGTGGCAGAGAGAGCTCAGCGCAGGACCATATTGCCACCAGGGTAATGGCGGGCATAGTGTGCTGTGGTCTGTGGTTTCAACATTGTAAACAGCTTTTAAAATCTGACAACTCAATCAGAATGAAAGATAAACGGGTGAAACCAAGGCGTCTCAATTTCCATTGAGAAGAGGCAAAGCAACATAAGAAAAATAAGCGGAGTAAAATTTACCGCAGTTTTTTAATGTTCTATGAGTGAATGACATTCCTATTGGTGAGGAGCTCATTAGCCATAAACACAAAACGCTAATCGTTGGCATACAGAAATGCTTTTGAGCTTTATCCTACACCGGTCTTACCTACAGAACCATCGCCTGGTGAAATTAAGGCATCCGCATCCATCATTATAGGAGATTTTATTTCAGTGAATTTTAGACTGTTTAATAAGAGTTCCTTTGCAATGAACGCTGAAAGAATGCGACGGAAACACAACCTCGCTATCAGAAAGTTCTAAACATACAGACAATTTTAAAGTATCTCAATCACAGAATATATAACAATCCAGCCAACTTTTATTTTATTTTTTAAAAAAGATAAAATCGATGATTATATGTTCAACGCTATAGCGATTTGGAGCGCTGATGATTAAATTCTTTAATGCGGCCTATACTACCATGTAGACTGCCATCCCCCCACTTTATCGCCTACTCAATTCGCCATTCAAAAGATGCCTGTAGCGACGTGGAGTACTCTTTTTCAGGCCTGTCCCTTTGTGTCCTTATTAAAACACGGTATGAATACAATGAGGGGTCAGGCCAACACTGAGATGCACTTATTCAGACCAAACGTGCACAAAGCCAGCGTGGCTTACGGCGGTTTAGTGAAACCGGCAGCACTGATAGTGGTGCATAATGCTGGGTTAAATATTAGAGCCCTTCTATTCCCAGGTCACAGTTTACTTGAGCTTGGTTCTTTTTGTATACTCGTTGCTGGAACGACGCGTTCCATACACTTTTACTTGCTGCCATGGCGTTTCCAAGTCTATTGCATTACCGGTCGGCCTGCCAACGGTTAACAGGTTTCCGGTCCATGGCTGTCACTCAAAGCCAGAACTACCAAGCATGCGTTCTGCGGACTGGTCGACGGGTTCTACAGCAGCATGGGCTTGGTAATTCAGCTATAGGTTCCACTTGTCGGACTTGGGAATGGCAGGTGGGTCGGCGTTGGCACACCAGTATAAACCGGACACCTGAATTCAAAAAGCTAACGGTAGACGATATCCTCCATTTTCGTTCGATACTTTCTCCAGCGAATGTGCTCACGGACCTGGTTAGCCCTGCCAACGAAGCCGGGGCTGCAACCACACGGGACAAATTGGCGCAATATAATACGGACTGGTTAAAGTTATTCCACGGGGCTTCTCATACTGTGTTGTTTCCAGAAACAACAGATCAAGTGGCGTCCGTTCTCCGCTATTGCGCAAAGCACACCATCGCGGTAGTGCCCCAGGGCGGCAATACCTGTGTAACGGGGGCCAGTGTGCCGGTGTTTGACGAGTTGATTTTGAGCCTGTCTAAAATGAACCAAATTCGACAATTCTGCCCTTCCTCGGGTGTCTTGGTATGTGACGCTGGCTGTATTCTGCAAACCGTGGACCACTACCTCGAGCCTTTTGGATATACTGTGCCGTTGGATTTAGCGGCCAAGGGAAGTTGCCAAATAGGTGGCAACGTTGCCACCAACGCGGGTGGGGTACACTTTATTCGCTACGGCTCCCTACGGGGCACCGTCCTAGGTCTGGAGGTGGTGTTACCCACGGGGGATGTCATGGACAACCTGTTTACCCTGCGCAAGGACAATGCGGGCTATGATCTGAAGCAACTTTTTATCGGATCCGAAGGTACCCTGGGGGTGATCACTGGAGTGGCCCTCC